GCAGTTGGCAACACCAGAGATAACAGAAAACACAGATAAGAACTGCTATTTATCAGAGTTTGACATGTGCCACATCAAGTGTAAGTTCCTATTCATTACACAACTAGCACTGCACTAGATTCTCTGGTAGATACAACTGCAGTATGAGGCACAGTCCCTAACCCTGAAGCACATAATCCTGCAGTGGCTAAACACATACATGGGAAAGAGAGCAACCTAACATATATAATCAAATGCCAAATTGTGTGATATAGACAAAAATGCTTTGGAGGTTCCAAAGGGATCTAAATACAATGGTAATGAAGGAAGCCTTTCAGAAGGCAGGATCAGGGGCAGCTAGGTGGTGCAGTGGATAGAGCCCCGGCCCTGAAATCAGGAGGACCTGAGTTCAAATCCAGCCTCGGACCAAATACTTGACACTCACTAGCTGTGTGACCCTAGGCAAGTCACTTAACCCCAACTGCAAAAAAAAAAAAAAAAAAGTGGGATCAGAATTTGACAGGAAGGTATTATCAAGAAAGCATTCCAGGTACGTGATGGTTTGGGAAAAGCACAGGCAAACATATTGAGACTTGCTAAGGCATGTGATGGGAAAAAGGAGAAAATTAGTCCACCTGAAGTCAGAAATTCATGCTGGGAAGCTTTAACTCCAGTCTCCTTCCTGTTGTCTATGTACTCTGTAAAATCCTTTCTTCTATAAACTTTTTTATCTCAAAAAAATTTTTAGAAACAGTCCGACTATACGTGTATCAAGAATTCTGTGATGAAAACAAGAAAGGAACCAGCAGGCTTTTGCAGACTAAATCATTATCTAAATAACTGAAAGATAATGAGAATGAAACCCTACTTTGTTGTTTTAGAAAAAAAGCATCTGACTCAGTAGAACAAATACAGCCCCCAATAAAGTATTTCTCACGTACATGTTAAAAGCATATAAAATTCCTTGGCAGAGCAGCCACAAGGATAACATAAAGCAAAGCATAAAACGGGGATATACAAGTATTTGTATTGCCTCTGTTATAGAGGATGTATTGTGAAGAGTCCAAATGGAAGAGAAATTCCCTAGACGTGAAGTCTCCAGCACTTAGCACTGCTGTTCCTATATGCAAAAAATGCTGAATACATCAAGCCCCAGAATAATCTTGCAGGGTGGAGAACCTGTGGCCTTGAGGCCACAAGTGCAGCCCTTTGACTGAGTCCAAGTTTTACAGAACAAATCTTTTTATTAAGGGGATTTGTTCTGTGAGTTTGGATTCAAGGGCTGCACTTGAGGACCTCGAGGGTCACATGTGGCCTTGAGGCCGCAGGTTCCCCACCCCTGCTCAAGCATGTTAGCTAAGTCCTCTATGGAGTATTTCATAAAAGTTATGAACAAGAATCACAAAGGACAAAAAGGCCTGAATAGATTATGGTACACACTGGTAGGAGGGCATATATCAATGTCACAGATTCACTGAAGCACAGATGAGGGGTCATTATCATCACAATCTATATACTGACCATTTTTATTTTTACTATAAATTATTAAATTCACAATCCTATATAAAGTGGTCTTCTGTAAGTAGTGGTTTCCTAAGCTCCTTTTTCCCTGCTTGATCCTACCACCTAAGTCAGTCATTGAGATGCCTAGATTTGAAACAGCGGCCTTATCTTATACCCAAGCTTTGATCCTAACTCTACAATAGGTGAGTATATTTAAAACTTGAACATTCCAATGCCTTTCTCTTAAAATCCCTAAATGTTTTAGTGAAATCCACTGACCAACTTCTTAAAATTTTCAGATTTTTCCTTAAACAGTTTGCAAGAGCAAATAAATCTTTATCAAGAATTTCTAATTTGCAGATAATTGCTCACAGATTCCATATGGCAGAACTGTATAAAGCAAGGAAGCAGAAGGAAGTATACCTTAAATAATGTTAATCTGTTGTTTACAGTACTACTTTAAAAAGCAAAAGTGCAGGGTTGGTCCTTTGTATTACTAATGGGAAAAGTACCATTCCCAACACAGTAGGGAAGAATTATTTGTCACAAAGTCCATGCTTGAAACCATAAGGTCTCAAGGTTTTTTCCAGTCGTAGCAAAATGGGGCCCAGCACACCAGCTGTACCATTTTTTAAAACACACACATTTTAACCCATGAAAAATACTTAAGAAACACAAGGGAAGATAATCATTAGAAATAACATACAAGATGAATATGTGAAATTAATAGGCCTTTCCCCATCCCCATAACTCACCCTCCTCACCCTCCCCCAGTACCTTCTCTCTGATATTAGCTCCAATTTACTCTGCATCTATTTTGTAAACATAGTTGTTTTCGTGTTGTCTCCTCCACTAGAATGTGAGGTCCTTGAGGACAGGGACTGTGTTTTTGCCTTTCTTTGTACCCCCAGCACTTAGCACAGTGCGTGGCACACAAGAAGTGTTTAAATAAAGGCTTGTTAACTTGTCATCATCAATCTTGAATGTGATTAAAGCTGGGATTTAAAAATGTATTACGCAAATAATACAGTATTGGGCATAAAACTTTTGTCTTGGAGACATGGCATTCTTTCTAGCAAAGTATTTAGCATGTATAATATAGCTTATAAAGATCTAGGCTCACATTTTAAGTCAATCTCGTACTTCTGAGTCAAGCAAAAATTGTCTACTGCACAGTCAAGTACTCAGAAAACTGACATTTGGGGGCTTGTGATAAGGTCTCAAGATAAACAATCCAAAGCATGAACTACGTATGTGTTTTTTAATTCAGAGACTTTTAAAGCTAGCATTCTGGGAACACAAATTATAAGATTTGTGCTGAAAGCTCATATGACTATGAATTTTTAGAAATTGATTTTATCTTATAGGGCAGGTAAGAATTGATTTACCATTCTTACCAATAACAAGCAAGTATCACCTTACTAATTTATTAAGAGATTATTTTCAAAATAGCCAAGAGATTTGGATCTGAAAGGAATTCAATATCCTTTCAATAGTACTTGAAAAGACAAAAGTTGTACTAATATGTTTGGATGACACTTAGGTGACCACATTACAGATGCTGTGTATATGAGTAGGAACTGGCAAATAAGAAAATTCTGGAGGCTTTGTAACATCCTTATTAAATTCTGAAAATTATTTTAACACATAAAAAGGGTACCCATATCTCCAAATATGTAAATGGCTATCCACACAAGAAAATTTCTGCATTATTGTAGAAATGGATGATATTTACTCCCACCTAAGCTTAATGAAGTCAAATGGTTCTGGGGTTTGGTCATGCCACTAGAACTTAGTTCTGTATATGCTTGGGGAGCATGGGGCTAGGAAAAGGAAAACATATGGTTTTGAATTTACTTAATTTGATATGGGAAATTTATTATCTATAAGGCAATTTTCCTTATGCTTCTAAAAGATGGAAAAGTTTCCATATGACTGGAATTAAATCAACACCCTTTCATCATGAAAAGTGGCCGTATATTATCTTACATTCTCAGCATCTAGCATTGCCCTATATATGGACAAGCAACCGTCTGTTGAAGATGATACCCTGAATGTGTAATCATGGGTAATATCTTCATTTTACGTTCTAATTTTTATAAAAGTCCTGGGGAGTGGGGGATTCAGATCTGTAATTTCAATGGAATACAGAATCCTCAGTATAGAAATTCCCTCCACTGAAACAGAAATTCTAAGAAAATTTCCTGAGTGACTATAGGACTGAATGCCTTGTCTACTATTTACCAGAGGCAGGACTCAAGCTCAGCTCTTCCTAAATCCAAAACCAGCCCTTTATGTACTATCTCTCACAACTTAAATAGACCTGTAAAACATGTGGGAATGATACAGTGCTATATGTCCAATTCAACTCAATGGCTAATGCATGCCTACTATACTAAGGCATTATGCTTGACCCTGGAGAGAATTACAGGTGTCTGAGAGATACAAAGAAAAAACATGAAACCAGCCCTGCCTTCAAGGAGGTAACATTCCACCAGGGGTGGTTGGGATGGGAAGTGGAGACAAAGGGTGAAACGCAAGACGCACAGAGAAGTATAATTTGAAAAAGGAGGGGGCATACAACTTGGCAGGGCACAGAGTTCTAGAAAGCTTCTTGGAGGGATGAATGAGTGAATGTTGGTTAGGGAAACACTAAAGGAGGCCAGAACACGATTCAAGTATAGAACATATTTTCTACCCCTAGACCCTTTGAATAGGGCCCTTTGGGATGTGCCAGGCAAGGAAGAAAATGTATCCATTCTTTGAACAGATACAGCATTTCAGGAAAGAAAAGAAACCACAAATCACCTGGGGCTTGGTTGTCAGGACCACAGCAGTCATTCTATCCTCCCCTGAGTTCTTCTTTTGGGAAAGGGCAGAATCTTGAGAAGGCAAAGCTAGAGAAAAAAGAAAAAACTTAAAAGGGTAGCTCCAAGGCTAGCTGGAAATCCCCACATCTAATGGGAGTCACCTCTGATGTACTGCAATAGCCTCCTAATTGTTCTCCCTGCTTCTAGCCTCCTCACTTAAGAGGTGGTTCCAACTTCCACAGCGGTGCCTCCCTCCTAAAAAAATAGTCCTTAAGCACAGGTCTGACCACATCATCACCCTGCTCAAGAAAAATCAGTGGCTCTCTATTGCCACTAGATTGGAATGCCAATTCTTCAGCTTCGTATTTAAAGCCCTTCATAATATGGCTCTAGTCTCCTCTTCCAGATTTCTTACACAGCAGTACTCTCCATCTTAAAGTCTATATTCCAGCCAAACCAGCCTGTTTGCTGTTTCAGAATTCAGCATTCCGTGCTGAATCCATGCCACATCCATGCCCACGCACAGGACTTCCCTCCTCGGAGGATTTAGCTTCCTTTAAACCTCACTTTATAAGCAGCCTCTTATAGGAAGTGTCTTGATCATCTTGAGAGTTAGTGCTCTCTCCTTCCCTCCTCAAATCTGTAGCCCCCCCCCACACACACGCACACTGCCTGTGTGTGTGTGTGTGTGTGTGTGTGTGTGTGCGCGCGCATGCGCAAGCACTAGCATATGTGTTTATACATTGTATCTCCCAGCAAAATCTAAGTTTCGGGAGGGCAGGCTGGTTTATCATTTTCTTTTTGTCTTTGTATCCCTAGCATACCTTGCACAAAGAAGTCACCTAAAAAAAATGCTAAATCATACACTACCATACCCTCAAAGAGGTAAGACAAATGGGAGTCAAGGAACCAACCCCACCATTTCCTAGGCTCAGAGAATGGCCAGGAACTCGGACTTACCTTCATGGTAAGCTGAAGGCAGGCCAGAGGGAAACACGAAAAACAGGACAGATTTATAACTATAATAACGTAAGAACACAAACTCTAGGTGATTTTCATAATTAATCTTGGTCCAAAAAAACAGATAAAAAAATTTACTTTCCCTCCACAGCCTAGAGACAGGATACTACAGAGGCAGAATGTTCATTCTATTGCTGGAAGGGACCTCAAAAGTCACCTTAATCCAACCCCCTTAGAAGCAACTAAAGTTCAAAGAGGTTTTGGCTTGTCCCTGTGAATTCAGGTGCTCTGACTTGAGGCAATTCCCTTTCTTCTGTACCATATATTATTACACAAGGTCCCTATATCTGTTGTTCTGTCTTAACTGTTTTCCTTTGTTACAAGAGAAGGTTTGATTCCAAAGCTATAGATGTGGTGGTGAAGAGGCTCTACCCAGAAACAATTAGGAGGTTAAAAATAAAAACCATCAACCAAATTTTTTTTCTTTAAGACAACAGTCCTGGTTTGGGAATCAGGCCCTATGTTGTAAAGTCACATTTCTACCTCCTATCTGCTGTGTGACAGTATAGCATTCAACTGTCCTTCAATTATGCCACTTATGGAAGGAAAAAATTCTTATGCTTTTCTTAGTTTTTAGAGGATATGCAAAGAATTATTTTGTGGAACTCTTTCAAGAAATTACCTTTCTAGATAGGACATATTATAGAAATAAAAATATGTTTTCTATAAAAAGTTAAAAAGCCATGAATTCCAGTCTAGACTGTCATTAATGAACAATGACATCTTTTTATTAGTTTTTTTTTAATTCTGAATTTAAACCACAAAATAAAAGTAGCATTTCCTTTTATATAGTAGAAAAAGACTGCATCTGAAACTGAAGGTCTTGATTATGTATGGTTTGCTTTTCTTTTCAAATATACGATAGTCAACATGTAATTTTAGAAGCTACTCCATTCATCTGTTATTCTTTCTAGCCTTCTTTCTGTTTTCTTCCATACATTGTTAAAAATGTTTCAATGACCCACTTTTCTTTTTTCTCACTACCCTAGCCCCCTCTGGTACCATATATACCTGAAATAGGAAAAAAAAAAGCCATTTCAACAAATACACAGTCAAGTAAAACAAATTCCCATGTTGGGTCGGCTGTTTGAAAACGCAGGTCTTATTATGTATCTTGAGTCCATCACTTGTTATTGTAGACAGGAAGCATACTTCATCATGACTCCTCTGGAATCATGGCTATAAGAGTTCTTAAGTTTTTCAAAGTTGTTTTTATTTATAATGTTATCATAATTTTTCTTCTGATCCTGCTCTCTTCACTGTTATCAGTTCATACAAGTCTTTCCAGGTTTCTCTGAAATAGTCTCTTTCATCATTTCTTGACATAATATTCTGTTACACTCATACACCATAATTTGTTTAGTCATTTCTCAAATAATAAACAAACCTTTAGTTTCCAGTTCTTTGCTAAAACAAAAAAACTTGCTATATATCTATTTTTTGCATAGGGTCCTCTTTCTCTTTCTTTGGTCTCTTTAGGGCACAGGATATCGGGTATAGTGGTATTGCTACCACTCAAAGGTTATTTATTGTAGTATATTAAGCAATGATTTTCATCTATTCAAACCTGCTTCCTAACATGTAAAATGGAAATGACATATGCCCAATGTGCCTGAGTGAATAAGGACAATGTAAGAACAAACTATAAAAGTAATTTGACAAGTGAAAATTTAATTCAGCAAACATTTATTAAAAACCTACAATATGCAAGGAATTATGCTGGGTACTAAGAATGCCAAGACAAAATGACAATCTCTGTCTTCAGGGTGATTATATTCCACTGAAGGATATAACATGTATACAGATGAGTAAATACAAGACAATCTGAAGAGAGAACATTAGAATCTAGAGGAATCAGGGATGGGCTGCTACAGGAGTTAGGGGGGTCCCCTTCATTAGAGGTCTTCAAGCAGAGGCTAAATGACCACTTTTCAAGTATAATATTATAGTAGGGATTGCTTGTGGTGTGGGTTGGTCTAGATAGCTGAGTCCTCTTACAACAATAAAATTCTATAAAAGACTTCCCATAGGATGAAGTACATGCATTGAACTTTAAAGGAAGCAAAGGATTCTAAGAGGCAAGAGTAAGTCAACAGGCATTTATCAATCACTTTGCTATGTGCTAGGCCCTGTGCTAAGAGCTCACATTCCAAGAGGTGTGCAACATGTAAACAAATACATACAAGATACATACAGAAGAGATGGAGGTTATCTCAGAGAAGAGGCTCTGGCAGCTGAGGAGACTGAGAAAGGCCTACCGCTGAAGGTAGCATTTGAGCTGTCTTGAAAGAAGCCAGGGATCCTAAGAGGCAGAGGTGAGGAGAGGAGAAAAAACATTACAAGCATGGGGTATATCTAGTGTATAGGCAGAAAGATAGGCGATGGAATGTAATGGACAAAGACCATCAAGTACTCCAGTATAATTGGACCATGGAGTCTATAGAAGGGAGTCAAACATAACAAGATTGAAAGATAGGAAGGGACCAGGTTGTGAAAATCTTTAAATGCCAAATACCTTTCTATTTAATTTTATAGGCAAAAGGGAACCATTGGAGTTCATTGAGAGAGGAAGGTGGCATGTGTAACATGGTCAGATTTACATTTTAAGAACTAGGGTGGTAGCTGCATAAGTGGAGAAAAAGAAACAGGCAAGAGATGTCATGAAGGTAATAACAAAAAGATTTGTCAATTGAGTTTATATGTGAGATGAATGAGACATTGAGGATGACACAGAGGTTGCAAATCTGGGTGACTGGAAGTATAATGGCACCCCCACAGTAACAGGGAAGTTTAAGAAGGGAAGGTTTAATTTGAATATGTGGAGTTTGAGATGCCTATGAGACATCCAGTTTGAGAAATCTAAAAAGCAGTTGGTGATATGGGACTGGACCTTGGAAGACTAGGTCTAGATATACAGATCTGGCAGTCATCTACATAAAGATAAGCATTAAACCTATGAGACCTGATGAAATCACCAAGTGAGATAGCACAGAGGAAAAAGTAGAAAAAGCCCAGGTTAGAGACTAGGGGAAAACCCATGACTAGTGGGTGTGCCATGGAGGAAAAATCAGTAAAGGAGACTAAGAAGAGGCAATCAGACAGGTAGGTGGACAACCACCAAGAGTGCAGTGCTACAAAAACCTAGAGAAGAGACTATCCAGGAGAAGAAACAACTGTACCAAATTGTATGAAAAGTTCAATTCAGCAACTAAAAAATCATTGGTAACTTTGAAGAGAGTAGTTTCAGTTGAATGACTAGGTTAGAAGCCATATTACAGAGGGTTTGTAAGAGAGATCACAGGAAGTAGAGGCACCACATATAGCTATCTTTTTCAGAGTTCAGCTGAGAAGTGGAGGAGAGATATAGGATAATCAGCAGGGTTGGTAGAATCAAGTGTCTTTTAAGAATGGAGGAAACATAGGCATGTTTGTAGACATCAAGAAAAGAGCCAGGGCAGATATGGAAGAGAATGAAGATTAGAAAGAAACTGGACCATCTTTTGTAAGATATGTTATAAAGATTCCTTTTGTGCACAAGTTAGGATAAATGGCCACTAAAGTCCCTTCCAATATTCAAATTCTGTGATTCTCAAATTCTATATGATAATGGGGGCAAGCAAACTGCTAGAGAAAGTGAAAGAGGAAAGAATCAAGGGTACACATAAAGAAGCCAGCTTTGATAATGACAAGGGCCACCTCTTCACTAGAGATTGGAGTAAAAAGACAGTGGGAGAAATGTACACAGTATATGACATGAGAAAGGGAGAAGAGGGAACTCTTGTCAAGTGGACTCAATTTTTTCAGTGAAGTATGAAGCAAGGTCTTCAGCTGACAAGATAGGAGGTGATACCCTGAGCAGCTTAAAAGGTTTGGAAGAGATGCTACGTAGAATGGGATAGAGAATCAATTATAGAGAGTAGAAGGATTGCCTTGCTGCAGTGAGAGCCCAGCTGAGTGTCAGTAACATAATCTGTCAGCAACATAATCTGAATCCAGTTAGGGTTCCTGACTTCCTCCAATTCATTCAACAGGAGATGAACAGGAAAGGAGCCAGAAAGCAAGAGTAATCCAGGATTAGAGTTTGGCAAGGTGTGATCAGTAATAGAATAATGGGGCATAGCACCAAAAGTGAAGAAGGGAGTGGTTGCCCCCAAGACAGAAGCCAAGTTAAAGGTCTTCAAAACCAAGAAGGCAGTTTTAAAGGGTAAACACAGCCATAGAAAGAAAAAAAATATGAATGTCCTCCACCTTCTGGAGACTCAAGTCACTTCAACACTGGAGATAATCCCAGAAAAGTGCCCACAGGAGGAACAAGCATGATCACTATGCTATCATCATGTTTCTCTTGTCCACTGAATCAGCTATGAAGTCTAAAGACAACACAACCCTGGTATTAGTCACTGTGGCCAGCAAACACCAGATAAAAGACTATAAAGAAGTTATATGACATTGATGCAGCCAAGATCAACAAACCAATCTGGCCTGATGGAGAGAAGCTAATGTCCAATTTGCCCCAGACTATGAAATTTTGGATCTTGCCACCAAAATTAAAATCATCTAAACTACAACCAACTAGCTCCACATACAACAAAATTTCCTAGTACACACTTTTAAAAATGGGGCAAGGGATGAGAATAAAGGATAATGTAGAGTTCAAATGATTCACTAAGGTGTCGAAACTGGGAAGGAAGCAGAATGTAGTGAGGGCAAGGTGAATGTCCTTGGAAAGAACTGAGGAATGGAAGGATTGGAGGTTACAGTGAGGATAAAGAATAAGGGTAGGGGTTGTAAGGCATAGGGAAATATGGGATGATACAAGACCTGATAAGACACAAGAATTTCAGAGTTTGTGAACATGGAAGTAGAATATTTGTAGGTGGTGGCAAGATCATGAGGACGACTACCATCTCTGTGTGTAGCTTAGTGAAAAAGTAGATCACAGAAATTCAGGAGACTGAAAACCAGAAAATTAGGGCATTTGAGGGAATTTTAATATGTAAGTTGAATTCCCCTAGTAGGAGTACAGGTATTGGAGAGTAGAAAAAGACTGTGAGTCTGGCATGAACTCACTGAGTTATGAGGTAGAATGTCCTAAGGGGTCACTAGATAACCACCACTAGAATCTGGATCTGGTGCTCAACTTGGATAATGTGAACTCACTGGAGAAAAGAGGGTGAGGGTGCTCAGAATGAGAAGTAATGGGCATTCTGACTCCCCTGCTATGACCAGTGAATTGGTGAGCTCAAAGTATGGCCAGTACCAGAAAGGGTGAGAAGGGAAGCAGAATCATCAGAAGGAAGCCTGATATGAGTGATTTACAGAAGATGGAAAAAGTGAGAAGAGATTTAATTTGAAATTAAAGTTTGTTAAGTATGGAGCAGACTTTCCAGAGGGTATAGAAGTAGGCACTGGCTGTTCAGGAGTGGGACAAGGAAAGGGAAAGAGGAGGGCTGAAGCAGATAGGTGAATAAGAAAGTGGACAGCCAAGGTTGGGGGCAAGGGCAATGGGGGGCGAAGAGTTAGTAGCAAGGGGTTCTGTATCACTATAATGGAGAGACTATAAAAAGAGATAGGAGAACGTTAGCCATTGAGGGATGCGTTCAAGCAGAGTATCAGTGATTGGGGAAAACCGTCGAGGGAGAGAGGTGAAACTGTTCTAGGCAATTTCTCCTGGCCCATCTTCTTGCTAAGTATGGCCTAGCACGGGGGCCAGTGTGCCTACAGTGAAGCCTCCTCACAGGAGGCATAACAAGGAGGAGGTATGGCCTCAGCTCCAGGGAGAAAGGGCATTCTAGGCATAGGAAACAGCAAGTGGAATGGCACAAACTGGACATAAAATGCCAAATTCTGGGGGATGTCAAATATGCCAGTTTGGCTTTCATATAGAATGCATAAAGGGGAGTAATGTGAAATAAATTTGGAAAATAGAGGCTAGAGGCATACTAACCAAGCTGAGGGACTTGTATTTTATCCAATAAGAAACAGCGAGCCACTAATTCCCCAACTTTCAGGATAAAAAGCTTAGAAAAGAGTAGAATGTCTGAACTATCCTCGATTTTTGGTCCAAACCCTATTATAGGTGCAAACAATGGAGTATGGTCCTCACCCTGGCACTCAGGAGAATACAACATGATGTGAAAATAAAGGAAGGTGAAAACTAAGCTAGAAAAGTGAAATTCACTTGAAATCCCAAAGATCTTACTTACCAAGTTTCCTAGTCATTTATTTACCATACCCAGTAGCCTCTCTGATGTTTTTTCTACTTTCCCCATCCTTGGGAGATTAACCCTTGATCTACTTGGCCCCATCCTTCTTTTAATCCTTACCTCTCTCTCCAAGAGTCTGGGGTAATTTTTCCATGGTCACCCCTTCCTTGCTGCCTTGTTATGTTTAATTTCACTCAAATCCTGATCTCCCAGGTGTAAACAAGGAAAATTTCTCTAGTGCCAAAAGCTCCAACTTGCTGTTTCCAGCCTCTTTCCTGAAGTTCTCTCTTGGAGTCCAATTTGTCTTTTTCCTAGGATGAATTATGATTGTGACGGTATCTTCTACTTTCACTATCAAATTCCCAACTTGTCCATGTGGAATGGGGATTTGGTAGTTTTAGGAGAAACTTTCTTCAGTTAGGGCTTGGTTTTTTTTTTTTGTTTTGTTTTTTTTCCCTGAAGTTCACATTTATTTCCTGCAGTTAATCAACCTTGTAGATTACCCCGGTTGGTCCCCTTGGCCTCTACCAAGAGTTACCAGGAGGATCAAAAAAGCAGTCCATGACAGGATGTTGTTAACCAAAGAGATCTGCCAGCCTTTTCCAGGGCCCTTGCAGAGGTAGCCCAGAGACCCTGGAACACACAAATGACAAGGTGAGCATCAAACCATGAGGAACTGTCTTCAAACAGGCACAAAGAGTCGATTCAAAAACACACTTAAGATTTAATAATATTAACTCATGCTCTGGATATGGAGTTAGTCAACCTGAGTTTGAATGCCACCTCAGGCACTTACTATTGTCAAAAGTGAATTTGGGGGAGAACATAACTGACTCCATTTTGTGACATGGTCTCTTTTACTATCTCCCTTCCCATAATCTCTTCACAATTTAGAATAATTCCAGGAACTCACCCACTTCTCTTTATTCATCTAATAAGGTATATATAGCAGAAGCGTAACAAATGCTAATTAACTGACTGATAAAGAAAACATGGCCTTCTCAGGTGTGGTGTAAATGGCTATGCTAAAGTCCCTTGTAACAGAGCATTTTTTTTCCTTTTACTAAAAATGTACTTTTTCCTTTCAATGTCCTACTTGACCTTACCCAAAATTCTGCATCAAGGAGTTCAACAGAAAAGAGGGGAGGGAGAGGGGAGAGAGAAGAAAGGGAGAAAAGAGGAAGAGAGAGGTATGCACGCCACAGATGACATATTTAAATACATACACACACATGCACATGTGTGCTTGCATGCACTCGAAGCTGTGAGACACACATGTTTATCACTTACTGATAGTGTGTGTCACAGTCTTGAGTGGAGAAATAAACTGCAGGGTACCTCTCTGTCAATAACCATGCTATGGCTAGCAACAACCCTGAAAATTCTTGCAACACCATCTGTGTGACCCTAGCCTAGGCAAGTCACTAATTAACCAGACTGTTTCCTCATAGGTAAAATGGGGATAATAAAAGCATCTACATCACATGGTTGTTGGGTAAGACTCAAAAGAGATAATACAGGTCAAGTACTTTGCAAACCTTAAGGCCCCACTAAATGGTAGATAATATTACTATATACCATTTTAGATAATATTACTATACACCATTTTATACCACAAGGTACTTTTTTCACAACCGCTCATATTTTGGCAAGCCATCATAACATCTCAGATCTTGGGCTAGAAGGGACCTCAGAAGCAGTCCAGGTCAAAAAGTGGGGGCCACGGAGGTTTAGTGATTTGCCCAAGGTCACAAAGGGGTGGGATCTGAATACATGTCTAGTAATAATAACTGCTAACATTTATATACAGCTTAATATGTACCAAGTGCTTTACAATTATTATATCATTTGATCCTTACAACAACTTTGCCACTATGATCTCCACTTTACAGAGGAGTAAAGTGAGGCAAATTGGGTTGTGACTAGCCCAGGGTCACACAGCTATGTAAGGCTGAATTTGAATTCAGGTCTTCCTGACTCCAAGCCCATAGCTCTATCCACTGCACCACCTACCTGACCCAATCTAGTTGATTCTAGATTCATTACACTTTCTCTTTTCCCCTTGGTTGTTAATTCCCAGACCCCGCCTCAAGAAGCCCGGGGAGCGCGCACTGGTTTAAACACAGTCACACACCAACGTACAAGATCACACAAAACAATTACGCCCCAAAACGTACAATCACACAACACATGCGCAAACACACTCCAGGAACGAGGAGGGCGCATGGCGCATGCGCATATCCTCCCGCTCAGCCCCTCCCCCAAGCGCTAAATCAGAGGCCAAAGGCTCCAGCCAAGGGATTAAGGTCTGGTTCTTCCGCACAAGGGAAAACCCGGAGCTTCTTCCTCCAGTCTCTGACCCCTTTTCCCTCTCCCCCACCTCGAGGGCACACACCTACATACACACTCTCCAGGATTAACTCACCTCCCACGCGGGAGCCGGACCAGACTAACAAAAGGACCTACGTGAGACCGGAAACGGAATTGCCCTTGGCCCTAAGGATCCACCCCCCCCATTACTAACCAAACTACAATTCCCAGATCCTTCGGACTCGATTACTTCCGGCTTCCAGCTTCCCATTTCCCACAAAGCTACAACGATGCTAAATTGTGAAAGACTACGCGCCGTTGCTTACTTCGCGGGAGGTCTCGTGCCTACGCCTTCCCCGGCCCGCATACACTTATACCTCCAGCTGACGTCGACCCCGGGGCCCGTTCGGAACCTAGGGCTTTGCTCCGATCAGAGGAACTGCCCCTGCGCAGCTTCGACCCTACAAAGACCTAGCGGAGGGAGGTGGGGGCGGGAGATGGGTCAGGGTTACCATGGAAACCGACCCAGCACGCTGCCGGCGTGTGATTTGGTTCTGGCTCCTGGGGAAGGATGTACCGGAGCAAGAGTGAGTCTTAATCTCTTCCTTTTACCTATTTGATGTTTGTACCTGGTGGCTTAGAGACTGGAGTCCCTGCTAAACCACTTAGCAACTAATTAATCTGGAGCTGGTTCCTTAATCTCTCAGGTTACCCATATGAAAAGAGGGGACAATAATCTACAGATCAATATTTATGAATCACCTATAAATCCAAGACACTGGGGATACAAAGGCAAAAAAAATGAAACAGTCCTTGGTTTCAAGAAGCTTAAGTAATAGAAGGTAATATGACGTGAAAAAATGCACATAGTCTTTGACCCACTGGTAGGCATATAATCCTGAGGAAGTCATTATCAATAGTCCGGGAGCTGGACTCATTGGACTCTGTCTAATGCTTTTCCTTTGTTTTCTTCTCTCTCTTACCGCAGGGGGATGCGGTAGAGAAAGAATTTAGGCCTCTCTGGCCAACCAAATCTGTACGGCAACTAGGGACAGGGCAGAGAGGGTGTATTACAACCTTTCTTTTAACACAGCTCTTAAGTCTGTTCTTTGACTTCTCCATTTTCTTGGCTCATCAGCAGGATCTTCTCTGAGAGACTTCTCCTTATGTTGTGGTTACTAACCAAATTTTCATCTTCTGTCACTAAGCAGTAATCAGGTATAGTGCACACTGTGCGCTTTTCAATCATATTAGTTTGGCTCCTTGGAGCATGGCTACTAATGATGGGGTGCTTGGGTGCCTGTGCTTGGATCCCAGTTTCTCCCTGGCCTCAGAAACACTGTCTCTGGCAGTTTCCCACCAGCCCAAGGACCCTATCTCTGGCAATAGCTCATGAGTGGACCCAGTGAGGCAAACTATCTCTCCCTGTTACAAGAACAAGCTGACCTCTGTAGAATTTTCTTTGTATGAACAGGACTATCTTGTACCGGCAGAACTACCAGGTCCTGATGCCCACAGTTACTGTATACAATCCAGAGGTCAAGCTATAGACGTCAACTCCTGAAGCTATCTTGTTTCAGACATAACAGACCAAAAATATGCCTTTTAGGAAACCCCCACCCCTGCGGTTTTCAGTAGTGAATGATGTAATTGTATGTTATCACCTAATTGACATACTTGCCACATAATTCACTACTTTTCCTATATAAGTTTTAGCATCATTCCTGTTAGGTTGCAAGTTTCCTAAGGAGCTCTGCCTACCACTGCAGGTTCCTTGAGAATCCTTGCCCACTGTATAGCATAACAATAAATCTTTGCCACCTTGACTTAAAGAATGCTTGAGTCTGTGAATTCATTCCAGATGACCCTGTCCTGTACTCTGTCCTTGAGGGGTCTCTCAGTCTCTCAGACAGCAACACTACTTCTCTACCTCAGGAGTCTAGGGTTTAACCCTGTGGAAGTAAGAGGTAGTTTCTGATACCGTTTGTCATGAGCCCCCATCTGTGTGCAACTCAATACCAAATGATCAACAAGCAATAATATCAATCAACATCACTTGGCTTTTACAAAGGGATATTTACTGAGAAAGTATAGCAACGGCCAAACTACAACAAACTCACAACTGAGATCACACTGCCCTCTTCACACTCTGTCCCTGGGGAGTGTGGACTCAAAAGTGATTCCTACAAAATATCACCCCTAAGGGGTGGGAGGGTAGGCTTACCTCCTGGCTCTGAAAATCCTTTTCTCCCTTTGCAAAGGCTCTACCAAATTCATTTATGGGTGTGGAATAGCCAATTGTTCCCTTGTTGGCAGGACATAATGTCTCAGCTACCAGGCTGATTCACTATTGGGCTGGGCCTAGAAGGTCTATCCTCAGGGCTGGCTCCTCACTGTACTACTATAACTACCATCAGACTCTATAGACTCCAGTTTCTGGACTTCTGGTGGCTTTTCTGACTTTTCAGACCTCCCAATGTCATAACCTTCTGTAACCCAGGCTTCAGCAAGCTGGCATAGAGCCCTGGCTCCGAGGGTACCATGGCTCAAACTCCCAGTTCTGCGGTGATCTCCCCCAGCACTGAAACTGGGAACAAACAATACATACCAGAAACAACACTAGACCCATTTTTTCAGAGCTAGGATAAAAGAAAGGTAGCAAGGGAAGGGAAGTGTTTCTCCTCTCACTGGTTCAGTTTATAGTTTCCATATTGGGCACAGCAGATAGGAGTCACAAAAAAGATGGCAGAAAAGAGAGTGAATAGCTCAATCTCACCAGTTTTAAAGATTCAAGCAGCCAATTAAAGGAGGCCACCCTCACCCACATGGTAGGGGATATAGCAGGCTCTATGGTAGGTAGCCTAATAGAAGGAAAGGAAGAAGGCTGTAAGGGAGAGGAACAGCAGAAATAATATTTTCCTCCTTCAACATTCAGAGGGTTTTGTACCTGTCACACTCTTGTTCTTTTCTGTACTAAACCTATTGTATGATAGATTAGTGTGTTGTGGTTTACCTGCAGCTCAGTGACAATAGGAACCATGTCTTAATTTCATTTGTAATGTCTTTGCAAACTAACATAATGCTTTGCATATGATAGGAGTTTAATAAATGGTTGTTGTTTTTGTTTGTTTGTTTGTTTGTTTTTGCTAACAAGGGGGTTAAGTGACTTGCCCAGGGTCACACAGCTAATGTCAAATGTCTGAGGCTGGATTTGAACTCAGATCCCCCTGACTCCAGGGCCAACACTCCATCCACTGCCGCCACCTAGCTGTCCCCTATAAATGGTTGCTGAATGAGCAAATCAATGAATCTAGGTGTAAGCAACCATAAAAGCAATTACCTATCAGCAAGCACCTACTCTATGCTAGGCACTGGGATACAGAGACAAACATGAAATAGTGCCTGCCCTTTGGAGAGCAATTTGGAACTATGCCCAAAGGGCTATAAAAATGTGCATACCCTTTGACCCAGCAATAGAACTTCTAGGGCTGTATCCCAGAGAGATCATACAAATGGGAAGAGGACCCACATGTACAAAAATATTTATAGTAGCTCTTTCAGTGGTGGCAAAGAATTGGAAATTGGGATGCCCATCAATTGGGGAATGGCTGAACAAGCTGTGGTATATGCACGTAATGGAAAACTATTGTGCTATAAGATACAATGAACAAGAGGACTTCAGAAAAACCTGGAAAGACTTGTATGTACTGATGCCGAGTGAAGTGAGCAGAACCAGGAGAATGTTTACACAGTAACAGCTACATTGTACGATGACCAGCTTTGATAGACTGAGCTCTTCTCAGCAATGCAAGGATCTAAGACATCTCCAAAGGTCTCATGGTGGAAAATGCTATCCACATCCAGAGAAAGAATTATGGAGTTTGAATGCAGATCAAAGCACACTATTTGCTCTTTTTTTTCCTTCTTCTGTTTTGTTTTGTTTCTTCTTTCTTGTGGTTCCTCCTGTTAATTCTAATTCTTCTTTACAACATGACTAATGTGAAAAAAGAAAAAAATGGTGCCTGTCCTCAGGGAGTTCACATTCTATCAGGGAGACACATATGTAAAAAAGAATATATAGATTATGTACAACACAAATACCAAGCCAAAACAGAACTAAAAGATTAGGTATTGCCAAAAGATTTGGTATTACAATAAACCTAATGTCTTTATAGTCCCACTCTCTCTATCCCCAGGCTCTGTTTATCTTTGTGGGAGCAGATGCCCCAGATTTCTTAGGCAAATGTTTTGTAATCATTGTTCTTGCCAGGCTATTTGAGTAAATGGCTTTTCTACTACCTTAAAAAAAAGTTTAGGGGACAGCTAGGTGGCATAGTGAATACAGCACCAGCCCTGAAGTCAGGCGGACCTGAGTTCAAATCTGGCATCAGACCAAACACTTGACACTTACTAGCTGTGTGACCCTGGGCAAGTCACTTAACCCCAATTGCCTAAAAAAAAAAAAAAAAAAAAAAGTTTGTCAGCCATAAGAAATGATGACTATGAAGAATTCAGAGAGGCAATGGGAAGATTTGTATGAAAGGACAGAAAGTAAAGTAAGCAGAACCAGGAAAAAATATATATATAAAACATATACATACACATACACACACACACACAAAATGACAACAGAATAGAAACAAAAACCTCACAAAGCTGAATGCTATATTAATTATAATGACCAAACGTATCCCTGAAGATAAGCTAAGAAAATCTTCCCTCAACCCCCACCCACCCACCATCTTTGCAGAGTTTGGGAATGATGGATGTAACTTACCTGTGTATACCATCAGGCTCAGTTGGTTAGTTTTGCTGAACCACTTTTCCTCTTTATTCTTTGTTACAAGGGATAGTTTTCTGGGTAGGGAAGGAGGGAGTTATATATTTAGAAATGAAGGTTACATAAAAATGTGTTAATAAAATTTAAAATGTTAAAAAAACAAGTAGTTTGGTAGCAAAAGAGAAATTGAATAAGTAACCATAGAGGGCAGCAGGTTCAAATGATAGATTTAATATAGGAGATCTTTTAAAAAGCTTTATGAAATGTCTGGTTCCAACGTGATTGTTAGAAATTTAACAAAGTGGCAGGCCTTGACAAAAGATTTCTCCAAATTGATTACGTGCCCTCATTTATTTGCCAGCATGTCGTCGCTGATGTTGGACGACAGATGACTTGCTACTGAAAACTTTCCTGCACACACTGCATTCATAGGGCTTCTCTCCAGTATGGATTCTCTGATGTCGTGTGAGAGATGAGCCATCAAAGAAGCATTTTCCACATTCACCACATTCATAGGGCTTTTCTCCAGTGTGAGTCCTCTGATGTCGAGTAAGGGTTGAGAGACCAAAGAAGGCTTTCCCACATTCCTTACATTCATAGGGATTGTCTCCAGTATGAGTTTTCTGATGTTGAATTAGGGAAGAACGGATGAAGAAGGCTTTCCCACATTCATGACATTTATGGGGCTTCTCTCCAGTATGAATTATGTGATGTCTAATAAGGGCTGAGTGCTGACTGAAGGCTTTTCCACATTCAGTACATACATAGGGTTTCTCTCCTGTGTGAACTATATGATGTCGAACAAGTGCTGAGTGGTGTCTGAAAGTTTTTCCACATTCATTGCATACATGGACTCTCTCTCTACTGGAAGTTTTCTTGTGAGTCATAGTTACTTGCCTGAAACCTTTTTCTTGGGAAAAAGCTTTCTTCCAAGTTTCCCCTGAAATGTCTCCCCTTTGCCCCTCCAATTTGCTCTCAGGCACATGAATTCTTCCAAATACGAGTTCCACAGGAATGTCACCTCTGAGTTTTCCCATTAATGTCTCTGGTGATTTTGCTTCCTCAGACCTATTTTGTTTTAGAGTTGACTCCTGGATCTCAGGCCTATTTTCCCAATCTAAAACAAAGAGAAAACCCAAATGTCAAGTGTTCCCTGTTAACACATGCTTACTAGATTAGATTCTATAGGATAAAGGAAACTGCCATATTAGAGGAATAATAATAAAACTGAAAGTAATGCTAATTACGCATCTCAGACATTGGCAGGCTCTCAAACTGCCCTGTAATCTTGAGAGAGAAAAGAAAGTAGGGGGTAGGGTAGGTTGGTGTACATAGTCCATTAAGTAAGGTGTACACATAGAGAGCTTATCCAGCATTGTAAGGGTAAGGAAGGGAACAATGACCAGATGGAGTTTTTAAAGTGGTTAGAGAATAGAGTGTAACTTGGGAAAAGAACTTCTAGTGAATAAAGAAAAGTAGCCCCTTCAAAGAGCAGGGCAAGAATTCCTAGCTAGGAAAGGAATCCATGAAGATGGAAGTAAAAGAATCAAATGTGAGAAAAATGGAACCCATTTCCCCAAAAAGGGAAAAGAGACTCTTTCAGTGGGTCCGTGGCAATAACAATTTCAGCAGGCCTTGGAGCCCCAGAGAGCTTCCCAAATTAATTATTGAGCTATTACTTCTAGTGAATCTCATCTGCCTGGTTTTTTTCACTTACCAGTATATTGTGGGATCTCTCTCTCTGCAGTTCTCTTTAGATTGAGTATCCATGGTTCTTCCCCTCGCTCCAACTGGAGAATCACATCAGGTTTAGAAATGGAAAGCCCTAATCAACAAATAAAGAAAATATCTCTGTTTTTGCTGGGGACATACAGATGTTTCAGGGTTCAGTTCCAACCCCTTAGGCAGCTAGGTAGAACAGTAGATAGAGCACTGGGCCTGGAGTAAGGAAGACCTGAGTTCAAATCCAATTTCATACACTTACTAGTTGTATGACCCTCGGCAAGTCATTTAACCTCTGTCTGCCTCAGTTTCTTCATCTATAGAAAGGGGATAATAATAGCACTTACCTTCCCAGAGTTGTTATGAGGATAAAATAAAATACTTGAAAAGTGCTTAGTATAGTCCCTGGCACAAAGCAGTAACTTAATAAATGCTTGTTCCCACCCTCAGTCTATAGAAAAGTGAAAAGGATATCATAAAACTCAGAAGGAGGTAAAGAGATCTCTGAAAGGAGAATTAGGATTATGTTACCAGTAAGTAGCAGATTCGTTGGAATTCATTTATGGTTTCACTGACAGACAATTGGGAATCTCAGATGTATAAAACTATTTGAACTTGGACTTTAGGTAAGAAGCCCCAGCCTGGGTAAACAGAGAATAAGGAAAAGAGCAATGAAGCTGCCTATTTTCAACTCTATAAAGTGAAGACCTTTCACCTAGGAATGGGAAGAATAAACAAACAACTGCATTGAGGCCCAACGAGGTTTAGGAATTACCCATCCCAGAACTAAAAGACTGAACATAAGCATTCCACAGCTGGTAATAAGTAATTGGAGGAAGAAAATACACACCAGTGGAAATGTGGTCAAAACACTTAATATTATATCTCTCTTTTTAAAACTTGTTGCATTTAAATGTTTTAAAAAATCATGGCTTAACTTGGAATTGAAATGAAAGGGGTGCATTGTCATGGAATAGTAGTATTGTACAGCTAGGAGGGAACCTTAGAAATTGATTTAGGCTAGAACAGTTGAAAAAGGATTTATAGAATAAGGACTTGAGCTGGAAGCAACTTGGGATCACTGAAAGCAGTGCAGAGTTTCCTCAGTGTTACCCAGTTTGTTCTCTTCCTATTCAGCTATGAGCCTAGTTTACCATCCACTTGCAACACATCCAAAAGAGAAGGTGTCCCAGAAGTCTTCATGTAGTTTTAAACTATTCAGCTATTAACTTAAAACTACACTAAGACTTTTGGAACCCCTATGTATGTACCAATAGACTTATGCAATGGGCCACTCGTCCAACTATTTGTCATAATCTAGGTAATAAGTATTCCTTATCCACTTGGTTTTTCCTGTATGGATGGGCTAGAGTGAACTTTTGAGTGATTTCACAGGATCATAGTTTTGGAGCTGGGAGGGATCTTTAAGACCATCAAATCCAACCCTCTTATTTTACAGATGAGGAAACTGAGGCACAGATAGTTTAAGTATCTTGCTCAGGTAGCATATCTCCTTGAAGTCTTTTCTTCTCCAGGTTAACCATCCTCATTTCCTTCATTCCTCATATGGCATGATTTGAAGACTCTTCACCATTCTGGTAAGCCTCTAGATATTCTCCAGTTTATCAATGTCCTTAAAATGTGGCACTCAGAACTGAATACAACACTCCAGATTTGGTCCAGTTCCAGCTGAGTATAGCAGATGATATCACCTCAATAGTCCTAGATAGAATGTCTCTCTGAATTCAGCCTAAGATTGGGGAGGGGGGTTTGTTTTTGTTTTTGCTGCTATATCAGTATTGATGAGTATTGATGACACTCCATTAAGATTCCCAGATCTTTTTCAGGCAAACTAATATCTAGCCATGAGTCCTCCATCCTGCGATTATGAAATTGATTTTTTGAAACCATGTAAGACTTTATGCCTATATATTCAACTCAGATTCACAAGTGTGATCTCATCAATGTGGGAATTTCCTCCAATGAAGGGAACTGCAAGCCATCTCTGCCTGCTTATCCTATGTGACTATTACCATGGCTTCCCATAAGTTCCCATAAGGGTGTTCATGCAACATGCAGGAGGCCTTCCTTGCCTTCTTTGACATTGTGAGGATACCATGGGCTGTCTTTGTCTATGCCTTGCTCTTGCCACCTGATTAACCCATCCTTCTTTGTGCTCATATATTTCTTTGATTACATATTTTACTGACTTCTCTTCCATTATTGCTTTTTTAAACATTTGTTGCAGCCTACCCACACACACCACGTACCTCCCCAGTGCTGTCTAGGTGATACTTATCTGTATTGACATTGAACCATCAATGACTATTCTTTAGGTCTTGCCATTCAACTCATTCTGAATCCTCCTAACTGTACTGTTGTTTAGGCCACTTCAATCTTGTTCAAAAGGCATGAGAGGCTTTGTCAAATGCTTTGCTAGTTAAAATACATCTACATCAATCCTCTGATCATATAACCCTATTAAAAAAGGAAATGGAGTTAGTCTGAAATGACTTGTTTCTGCTAAAGATGGGGATCTGGTGCTCAGAAGGGTGGTCAGGACAGCAAGTATAGATTTGGTGATCCTCTGCATGGAGGTGACAGTGGAATCTGCAAGAGAGACAGAAATGGCAAAGGAGACAGTGTAAAAGAGAATCAAGAGTAGACATTTGGAGAAATACCTGCATTAAGGGGGAAGATTAAGGAGACAGCAAGAGATGGTAACAGGGTAGTTAGAAAGGTAGGAGAAGAGCAAGGAAATGTGGCATGCCTGAAGTCTCTGACAATTACCACCTCTATATTTACCTTTTTACAAGTAGAATGTAAACTCCTGGATGGTAAGGTCGGCTTTTCTTTGTATCTTTGTATCCCCAGTCCCTTGCACACATAGATACTTAATGACTACTTGTTGAATGGGTTTGGAAGCCACAGAAGAGAGTCTCCAGAAGGCTGCAGAGGGCAGAGGAAGCTGATGAAGTTCCTGGTAGATGGTCTCCTCCTCCTCCATGAAGCCTCAGACACAGACTCCTCAATGTCCCTCAATGTCCCTCTGGATTGTTCTCTTCTACAGTTCGTCTGAGATACTCAAGGGAGCTCTAGATCCCACTCTTATTTTCTTGACCAAGACATTTTTGGATTCACTATGTAATGTCTCTCATTACCTGCTGCCTCTCTAGCCTTTATTTCCATTTATAAATGTGTAAGCATCTCTGCCTGGAGCCTATTTTCTTTTTTTAGCCTTGACACATGCTAAAGTCTCATGAAATCCCTTCCTTTACCCAATCCTGACAAGCATTACTCTACTTTCAACGTTGCACAAAGGTTGCTGTAGTTTCAGAGTAACTCCCACAGGCTTCTGGTATGTGACCATACTTAAGACATACAGTGATATTAAAACATGAATGGGACCACAAAATTTAAAGGTAACTCTAGTTCCCTCTCTAGGAGTCTTCTCCAAGATGTAGTGTTACCCCATTGAAGGAAAAGAGATATTTTCTAAAAACAGGGAAGATTTTTAATCTCAGGGCAAAGCCATCCTTACCCAATGAGATCATGTTTCTGTAGTTCTCCAACATCACATCCCTGTACAAATCCCTCTGAGCAGAGTTCAGTTGCCTCCACTCTTCCTGGGTGAAGTTCACAGCCACATCCTTGAAAGTCACCAATTCCTAAAATACAAACATTCTTGCTCACCCATAGGCCTTTTCTCCCCATCTCTCCATCTCTTGGCCACCTGGTGACCAGACAATAAGAGGGTGAGAGAGAGAGAGAGGGGAGGGGTAAAGATAAAAGCTCCAGGAGGAGCTTATGTTTAGAAGAAGTACTGGCAGAATTAAAGATATGAGTGGTTTTTGGTAAGGCATGTGACCTGATGCAGACAGTTCTTGATTTTATCTCTCTTGTATTGTACCCATCACCAGTTTACTTTTGAGGGAGAACAAAAATTAAGCAAAGAATATTCCCTAGAACAGGGGCTTTTAACCTAGGGTCCATGAATTTGGATTTTTAAAAAAATATTTTGATAAATGCATTTCAATATAATTGTTTTCCTTTGTAATCTGTTGTATTTCACGTAATGCATTAAAACCTTTGAGGAGGATACAATTCACCAGTCTGTCAAAGGGATCCATTAAACAAAACAGATTAAGAACCTATGACCAAAAAGGAAGGAGATCTGTTAGTACCAGATCTCAAATTATACTGTAATTTTATATTATATACTATAATTTGATTAAAGATACTATAAAATTATTAAAATGATTTGGTATTAATGATTTGATACACTGATAACTAAAATGATTTGGTAAAAGAAATAGAGAGGTTGAATAAGATTAGTAATATGACAAGTGAAATAATAGCTGGGTGTCCAATAAACCCAAAGACCTCAGATACTGGGGCAAGGATTCACTAAGTGATTAAAAAAAAAAACCCATCGGGAACACTGGAAAACATTTCAGCAGAAATTGGGTATAGACCAACATCTCACATTGTTTACCAAGATAAACTCCAAATGGATACACGACTTAAACAGAAACAGTGACATCATAAGCAAATTAGAGGAGCTAGGAAGAAATTACCTTTCAGATCTATAGAAAGAAGGGTGTATGACTAAACAAGCAACAGGGAATCACAGAAAATACAATTAACAATTATGATTACATAAAATGAAAAAGATTTTACAAAAATAAAAATCTAACTTAGTTAAAATTAGAAGGGAAACATAATGGGAAAGATCATTGCAGTAAGTTTCTCTCATAAAGGTTTTATATTCAATATATATAAAGAATTGATTAGATTTGTAAGACTAAGAGCCATTCCCCAATATATGAATGGTCAAAGGATATGAACAGGCAGTTTTCAAAGGAAGACATCCAAGTTATCAATAACCTATGAAAAATGCTTTGAATCATCAATAATTAGATAAATACAAATTAAAGCAATTCTGAAGTTCTACCTCATACCAAATAGAATGGCAAAGATGAGAAAAAGAAAAATATGTTGGAGGGTCTGTGGGAAACAAGTACATTAATGTACTATTAATGGAGCTGTATATTTCTGGAAGGCAATATTGTATTATACCCCCAAAGTTACTAATTTGTATATTCCCTTTGACATAACTATACTACTGGTAGGCATACACTGTCAAAGAAATCAAGTAAAGAGGAAAAGCACCCATATGAACAAAAATATTTGTAGGAGCTCTTTTCGTAATAGCTCCAAACTAGAAATTAAGGGAATATCCACCTATTGGTGAATGACTAAAAATTGTGGTATATGAATATAATGGAATATTATTTTGCCATGAGAAATTATGAAATGGTTGGTTTCAGAGGAAACTGGGAAGACTTCTATGACCTGATACAGAGTAAATGGAGGAAAACTGGAAGAAAAATTTACACAATGACAACATTATAGGAAAAAAAATAATTGAAAGACTTCAGAACCCTGCTTAATGCAATGATAAACCACTAGTTCAGAGGCCTGGAAATAAATCACATCAACTACCTCCTGCCAGAGAGGTGATGGACTTAAAATCCAGAATAAGATATGCATGTTTAGATATGGCCAATGTGGGAATTTGTTTTGGTGGACGTGAAAAAGAAAAAGAATAAGAATTTAAAAAAAAAAAAAGAATCCTTAGCTGTAGAGAGTTCATCATCTATTGGAATGGAACTAATTTCCAAGGTATGAGAAAGTAGGGCTTTGATTACTGGAGGAGCGACTGAACAAAGATGTTTCAGAATGAAGAAAAAAGGAACCATAATCTGGAAAATGAGATGGCATGACAGGAAAAAAAAGGAAGGAAAATCCATTTTACCTGGAACTTGGCAATCAGGAACACAGCATCCATTCCCTGTTCTTCTATGCACCCTTCTTGGGGAAAAAAAAAGAGTTCTGAGAAAGTAGGGCTGAAAGAGGAAAAGGAAACATAAGAAAGACTGATCTAATTTATGTCAGACTCAGTGGGCTAGAAATCTCATATCAATTAAACATAAACCTCTTATCCCAGTAATACAGAAGGGAAATGCATAGCAATCCTGCCTTCTCCCAGAATTAGAGGGGAAAGCCATAGACATTGATGATTAGGATTGACTTTGTCCCTGCATTCATAGCAGGTTGCACAAGACAAAGCTGTGTTGCTGGTAGACAGAAAATGGCTTGAATTCACACCTCTGTACTCAAGTTGAACATATAATTTCATTATGCATGAATAACTGCTTTTAATGAGAGAAGATACATCAAAGCCCTTTCTTGCCTCAAAAAATCAATGAAGAATACATTTTCTTACTTGAAGAAAGCAGCTTCATGGATATTACAATATCAGAGAAGCGTCATGATACACTGGAAAAAGCATGAAACTGGGACTTAGAATACCATTGCTACCAGTCTATCCCACCTAGACAATTCCAGGCAAATTGCTTAACCTCTAGATGTCAGTATTCTCATCATAAAATGGGCTTAATAATGAGATAATGAGTGATCCCACAAATGACTCATAAACATTAGTTTTCATTACTTCATAATAATCCTTCCTACATATCCTGCCTGTACCATATCAGTTTCTGAAAGGGTTATGTGAGAAAAATATGGGAAAGTATGTGAAATATTAAAAATATAATATATTCATGAGGCCTTCTTGGTTTTACTCAGCTCGATTCTCAGACCAATTGAATTAAGTCTGGAAACTCATAAAACTTTAGAAATGCACTTTTTTGATCTCTGAGGTACAAGGAGAGGGCTCAGTTATTCTCTACATCCTTGTTCATTTTCCACATAAGTGAAAGATGGAAATTGTCCCCTCTTCTCAGCTTTAGACTGCACATTGGTATACACTGCAAAACTGAAAGAAGAGGGAGTGAGCTAGAGGACATGATAAAGAGCCCTATAATGAAGTCCCAAAAAACTCAATGAATGAGTGCAAGGGCCAGTGTCAACCAAGCCAACCTTCCTCCTTCTAGCTTATGCTTTACAAGCAGCCTTACGCTGTTATGAGAGAAGAAAAAAACTGCATTCAGAAGACTTCAATTCAATTAAAAGTTCCACCACTTAATAAACTCTCATTTTCAATTCTTTGGCTCTCAGTTTCCTCATTTGTAAAATGGAAATAACGACTCTGTCCTTTGAAGAGTCGTTGTGAGGGTAGAATAAGTGAATGTGCTTCAAAAATTTCAAGTGCTATATGAGTTATTATGTTTCCATCTTTCTCTCTGAGAAAGCTCAATCAGCCTCATTCTTCATCCTCTGACAGTCTTTGATCACCCTCACTTACTTTCTCATGCACATGGGTCACACTATCCATGAGGAATCACTCCCTCACTGTTCTCTGATGTGGTGCTTCCACTCAAGTTCTGATTTCCCTAGGTGGAATGGTCAGTGATTCCTCCGACTCCAGAGTCAATAGGATGTTTTCTTTGTAGGGAATCTGCTATCAGAGTTGATTGAGCATCTTTCAAGTCCTTGCTTCCTCCTGGAAATAAAACCGCCTAAAGATCCAATGAGTACTTCTTATCCTAGGGCGGATTTCTGTCGCTAGATGAAGCACTTCTACTCAGGAATCCAATTTATACCTGTAAAATGTAAGCATTGTAAATAGAACATGTTCCACAACTGTCAGCTGAATGAATTAATGGGACTCACCCTCTGGATCCCCAGGTAGGACCCCGAATAGATTCTACCAAGACCTGCTAAGACCAGACAGGAGAAAGTCAGTGTCAGGGGTCCAGAAAATACATCATCTAGCCCTGGATTCCACAGAAATGGAAAAAAGTATATCAGATACAGCATCTGTTCATGAGATGAGCATGAGGGAGAAGCGATGGGCTGCTCTTAAATATCAATAGAACTCCTAGAATTGGTATAGATACTGAATCTATGTCTCCTATGGTTTGTCCTTTGTTCTCGAAGAGGGCCATGACATCAGGGAGATGATGACATGACTTGCAATAGACTTTGATTTGAGTGAGGGAGGGCTGCAGCCTCAACAGTGAAGTACAGATATAGATAGATGGATGGATGGATGGATAGATGGATAGATAGATACACAGGATTAATACACAGAGAGAAATGTAGATTCAATCCCAAGACCCTATCCTACATAGATACACACTATGCCCACCCCTCCAGGGTGAGAATTCAATTCCTTTCATCAAACATTAAGAGCATATTATGTACAAGGTATTTTCCTAGGTATTAGGGGTACAATATGAAAAACAGCATATCCCTTTCCTTAAGAAGGTTACAGTCCAGTAGGGAAAATGACATGCACATGTAATAGAAGGGAGAACATGAAAGGAGCAAAGGAAAGCTCTGAAGAACTCTAGGAACATTAGAGGATGGAGGCCTTTTAGCTGGGAGATTACAGAAAGCCGCAGGTAGGAGATGGTGCCTGAGCCAAGTCTCGGGAAGAAAAGAATTTCAACAGATGGAGTGGAGTCATATAGGATGACTGACATAAATAGATGGAATCAGACAGTGATGGGCTGGAATACTGAATAAACCAAGAAGAACTGTATGAGATGAGGCTGGGGCTGGTAAGGCAGTTTGGGTCTAAATTAGGACATCTCAGATTACTAGAGGGCAGTGTTTACACTTGATCCTAAAGGCAATAGGGAGCCACCAAAGGTTTTTGAGCAGGGAAGTGACATAATCAAACCAGATGATTTTTACTAGCTATATGAAAGATGGGCTGGAGAAGAGAGATAATGGAAAGAGAACCCAGTTAAGATTAGCTCAACTACAAAATGGAACCCTTTCTTTGTAGGAAGGATGGAAGGTACTTATAAAAAAAAACAAACACCTGGTAAATTGACATTTCCCTTGAGCAAGCTTATCTTGGGGTAGATAAGAGCTGACTGGCTGAGGTTTTGAACAGGCCTGATGGCAGTAACACCCAGGGTCACTTGGAAAATGAGAGGAGTAGACACTGGCCATGTGAAGTTTACTAATACCCTCTCCATAGTCACCCACCCCTAAGGACAAGGTAAAAGTACCTCCCCCTGGCCTCCCACCTCTCTAGGGTAACTCTGAATGCCTTGGATAGGGAGGAAGCCTGGAGAAGTAGAAATAGTACCGGTAGAGTCAAAGTGTCTGAATCTTGGTTCTGCCACATAGTGGGTACGTCATTGAGTTTCCCTTAGGCTTCATGAACAGAAGAAGAGCATCTAGAACAAGAAGTAGTGGCGAGGGGGTGGGGGTTCCTAGTCCCACTATGCTCTGCTCTGGATAGACCACATCTGGCCTCTTGCATCTGGGTGTGCAAACTGGAGCCTAAAATTTCCTCAATTACAGAAAAGAATTGAATTAACACCACTCTTAGGAAAGTCAAGGGACACAGCTATTACTCATTCACATTTTTGTGTGGATATAGGACTTTTGAAGGAGATCTCTTCTAGACAGGAAACCTGGATAACATGATGCTTAAGGTCCCTTCTAGCTCTAAAATTCTAAGATTTGTTATCCCCAAGAAAACCGGCAATGCTGGTAATAAAGATTTCTGAAGGAAACAAAAGCAAAACATTTGTTTGCAGGAGGTCTGGAAGTAACTGAAAGCTTTCAGTTAATAAATAACATTATACAACAAATGTTCACACTAGCAAGAATATTTGAAAGTAAAAGGCAAGCTGCTGGCACCATTTGCTTTGGAAGCACAAGTATGCTTTCACTATACAAGTAGATTTTCAGTTCTATGTACTTTGTCAGGCTGGGAGGATGTCAGCTGAGAAATAGCCAGCCAGCATCTGGATTGGAACTGTTTCAGCTCTCCAAAGATAAAAAGGCATATTATTCTGTTCATTTCAAGGCTCATCTGGACCCAAAGATAATAGGTGAAGGGGCAGCTAGGTGGCGCAGTGGATAGAGCTCCAGCCTTGGAGTCAGGAGGACTTGAGTTCAAATCTGACCTCACACACTTGACAAAGACACTAGCTGTGTGACCTTGGGCAAGTCACTTAACCCCAATTGCCTCACCAAAAAAAAAAAAAAAGATAATAGGTGACAGCTCCTTATGATTAGACTGGAAGACTGGAAGGCTTTAAAAAAAAACCAACAACAAATATTGAGAAACTGTCTTGTGTAGTAGAAAGAATCAGAGGTGCAGGGTTCAAGTACCAATCACCACTTACTAACGGTATAACCCTAGCAAGTCACTACCTTTCTAAGCCCATTTCCTCATCTTTAAAATGAGGATAACATGTGTACCTGCCACACAGAGTAGTTGTGAAAAAATTGCTTTGTGAACTAATGCTCCATCAAAATAGGTTTTTAAACTGCGGGATTGAGAAGGGGCAGTAATAACCAAATAGACACAATACAGTTACATTTTTCAGTATGGTATATAAAACAATGTATTTCTAAACATATTAGGTAGACCGGGAAAGGAGAGGGAGTGAGCACTTCAAGGAAAGACAGGTTTGGATAGGACAGTTGAAGATGCTAGAGTGGCCAGAGTGGAAGTCTCAGAAAGGTAAGGGGAGAATTCAAAAATAGCAGCCCAATGAATCTGCAAGTCATAAAATATCACAAGATGTTAGAGCTGGGGGTGGGGGTGGGAAAACTTTGAGATTATCTAACCCAGTTCCCTCATTTTACAGCTGAGAAGACTAATGGTCAGAGGTTAAATAATTCAGCCAAAAATCACATAGCCAAATCTGTTCAGAGCTGGGACATGACTTGGCTTCCCTAGTCTAGTGTTCTCTCCACTAAATCTCAATGATTCATCCAATTTCAAACTTTGCTTGAGCAAAGGAGCTAACTTTTCAGGTCCCACTGAAGGTTGAACTCTGACTTGGAAAGATGTAGCTCCTGCCCACAGCAATGAGATCAGATGGCAGGGGAAGCCATCCACAGTGATGTAGTAATGGTTGTTGTGCTAATAAGAAAAGTCGCGGCTTAGGCTAGTTTGTGTCTGGAGAAGCTGCACAAACACACAGTTGATCAAGGTTTATGGTTTTGTTCCCACTCACCATTCTACTGAAACTTTTCTCTCATGGGTTAATAATGTCATGTCTCCTGATGCCACCAAATGGAAAGGACTTTTCTTAGTTGACCCTCTCCTTTGAATTGTAATTAAATCTATTATCTCTTTCTATTGGGGAATCCACACCCTATGATCAGCAAACTTGCCTTTCACCTAAATTTATTTCTCACATTCCTTGCAGTCTTCACTGGAATTGGCCCTTACCTGAATTCATTGCATCCCCTGCCACCCTCACCTGTGAAAGATCCTTCCCCCTCTCCATAACCCTAAAATCAATGGGAAAATGTGTGTGTAAAGGGGCTGGGGTGAAGTGACCATCTTGACTACCCAGTGCCATCTTTGGACCATGGAAAAACCAACTTGTCTCTCCTTCCACATTTCCCACGGTGAAAGTCTTCTTGGGAACTAGAAGGACCCTTAATGATCATCTAATCTAGGGGTTCTTAACTTTTTTGTGTCATGGACCTCTCTCACAGTCTGGTGAAGCCTATGGACCCCTTCTCAGAATCATGTTTTTAAATGCATAAAATAAAATACATAGAATCAAAACATCAACAACAACAAAGGATAATGAAAAATAAAGATGTAATATCTTCCCCATCCAAGTACATAGAGGCCCCCCTGAAATCTATCCACAGACTCCACATGCACTCCAGGTTAAGAACCCCAGATCTAGTTCAACTAGAACTAGATCTTTTTACACAGGAGGAAACTAACTTGAGGAGAGGAGTGCAGAGAGAGGAGAGAGAAGAGGAGAGACGGAAAGGAGAGGAGAGGGAGAGGAGAAGAGGGGTGTCAAATGCCACCTCCTCCAGGAAGTCCTCAGCTTCTGATTCCCATTGCTCTCCTTTGGTGTCGGGTCATCTCCCCGGCCAGACTGCCTGCTCCGCGTCCTCCTCACCCGGGTCACCCCTCCGAGTCATGTGAATGGCCCGAGGCTGTGGGCAGGCTGGAGGTCACCGGCCCCCCACGGGCAGAAGCCCCCGGGATGGATGGAGGCTGGCCTCCGGACGGACCCTCCTCCGCACATCCCGGAGGGGTTTCTCCCCGGCCCCCAACGCTCCGCAGAGCTCCCTCCTCCTCCGAAGCTGCTCAGACAGACACCTGTCCTCGCTCAGTCCTCACCTCTCCAGCTGACCCTCTTCGCCCCGACCCAGAGACGCCGGTTCTCCGCCCCGAGCCGCTGCGGTCCCCATCCTGGAGGCGCTGAGCCCATGACAACGCTCCCGAGAACTACGATTTCCAGCCCTGCTTTGGGTCCGTTCACTTCCGGTTGCCAGCCTGCATTCCCCGGGGCCTTAGCAACTCAAGTTTAAGAGCCTCGCAGCACTAGAAACGAACCTGATCTAGGTAGAAATGCTGGGAAATTGAGTCTCAGAGCCAGAGGCCAGTGGATTTCCAGAGTCGAGAATCGAGGATCCATCTGCGCAAACGCTCTCGGTGGTTCCTGTCAAACTACATTGTCGGAAAAGTCAGACTCTCCTTAAAACACAGCGCAGGCCAGTCACCGTGGTAACAGCCTCCGTGGGTAATGGCTTTCTCTTCCAGGTTTTTCTAGAGGAAATGGTCTCATTTTGCAAAAGGTTCTGAGGGCCATATAGGTTAAGCCATGGGTGGAGAACCTTTTCATGTTGGAAGGCCGCATTAATATTTAGTCGCATTCAAGAAACTTCAATTTAGATATACTTAAAAACGTACATTGTTTTGTAAAAATCTATGTACATAATAATTTCAAAAAATGAAAACTCTTTGTAATTTTAAAGTTAACAAACTTTTTAATGACTTTGTTGTGTCTGCTTTTGGTTGGAAAGCATTTGAATATTTGGTTGCAGCATGGATGTCTACAATTTCAGTTGATCCTCTAGATGGGTAACAGTCATTTGTGACCTTAAGGGCATCTTGATTTAGGTTAAGTAGGAGAAAGTAGATTGGCAGCAATAAGTAGTTGAAAAGCAAGAAAGCATTTTTTTCAGGCGTGTTACCCAAGGCATAGGTATTCTACTGCATTTTTCCATATTTCAATTGGATATTTCTTATCATCAAACAATGACTTTAAAATGTCGTCTATGGAGAACTCAATCAATTTCATCTGTAGTTCTTTAGGTGCCTTGGTGATGTCAACTAGGTGAGGCTGAAATGCTAATTTGAGTGTGAGATCGTGATTCTCAAAGTCAGTGAATCTTTTCATTGTATTCTCCAATTAATAAGTCTATAATAGCTTTGTATTCTTCAAAGATTCACTTTCATCATCCTGCTCATCAATGAGCTTTGCTAATTGGGGAAAATGTTCATCTGAAATTTCCTTTTGAATAAATGTTTTGAAAAAAGATAGCTATTTTCGAAATGCTTAGATTTTTTGCCACATATCATATATAGACTTAGTTTTACCTTGCAAAGAAATATTCAAGTCATTTTGATTGACATATCATAAAGAAATGCAGCATTCCTATAGAAATCTTTCAATAATTCACATTGCTGATTCTGTTCTTCATAAAATTTAACTATTTGTTCTTGCAGAGATAAAATTTTGGCTAACACCTGTCCCTGGGATAACCAATGCACTTGAGAATGACATCAAATCCACACTGAATACCTCATCGTTCAACTTTAGCATGTAACAAAACTCATGATGCTGGGTTGCATTTGCACAAATATAGTTAACAATACTTGTAACTTATTGCAAAGAGTCAGTTAAAATAGTAGCTTTAACAGAGAGATTTTGCTGATGCAAGATGCAGTAAAAAGAAATAAGAGCATCTGGATCTGTTAATACTTTTTTTTGTATCTGTGCAATAAACCCTTCATGTTTTCCTGTCATGGAAGGTGTACCGTCTGTACATACACTCACTATATTTACCAAATTCAGTCCAACTTCACGACATTTATTGTGAAAGTTGTTGAAAGTATCTATTCCCCATATTCTGTTTGCATGAGTGCCCAAAGCGAGTAACTCTTCATAGCAAAGAAAATCTTGGTTCAGATTCTTATAATCTAGTCACTGCTTAGATTCTTATAATCTAGCCACTGCGTAGATTCTTAAAATCTAGCCATTGCTTACCCAGGTTTCAGACTCCTTAAAAGTCAGCCTAATGTGAAGGATGTTCTAATAAACCTTGTCTTTGGCTGAAAGAAGGCTTGGGTCGAATTCTTTCGGGCAGGACCCGCATGTTGTGATTTTGGGGTCCCAGGACCCCTGAACTTCTAAAGCGCATCATTTTGGTGGCCCATATGGGGAAACTACCTAACCCCAAATTCTTCTCCAGCCAAGACTGGAAGGTATGTAAGCCTCCTCTTCCTCCCTTTCTTGCTCCGCAGTTGGGGTCGCTCTCCAAGCACCAAGGCTTGGAGGTGCTTTTTGGGCAGACAGTTACGAGGTCGTCTCGAACTTGGCCTGATGCTCTCAGCCTCTAGGTCCACTGGGTTGGTTCAAGGCCATGGACAGAAGTGTATGAATTCCCTCAGTGTTAGGGAATTGGGGAAAACTGCAGTTGCTTTTTGGTTCCCTGAGGCTTACTTACTCCCTTCCCTCTGCACCTCTAAATCCTGCTTCATGGAGGTTACAGGGAAAGTTAGAAAATATCTTGGCAGATTCTGGAGGTTTTGTGATTGATCATTAAGGAGTTTAGAACTCCTCTTTACAACCCTGGTCACTCCTTTCTCCCACTCCCTTCCCTTGAGTCAAGAGGGTATCCCTCCCCCACCTGGGAAAGGAAGGAAGGAGATGGGGCAGCAACTACAGCATGGGCCCCACAGGCAATGGCCTTGGGCTCTGGGGCAACCTTTGCCTGGAAGCATCACCCAAGTTCAGCACATCCTGCTCAAGGTAATGAAGCTAGCTTCCAAAGTTGGGTAAGCATACTCTTTTAAATTGGTAGTTTTAACTGTTAATGATGAGATGTTGATTCTCTGTGTAAAGTAATTTGGAAGGGCATTTAACAAAACTGAAGTCACCTGATTGGTAATGGGTTTGTTTCAAGTTTCAAATTGGTGACCTTTCTGTATCAGTTATGTCAAGCATATGTCAAGCATTTTCATAATTTGGTTACCGCTAAAATCATTTAGCTATTGTTGGTTATTGTTTTAATGTGTAAACTAGCCAAAAAGTTTGTTTGGGTTATGTATGGCTTGTGGAGAATTTGCAAGTGTATAGAAATCTCTAATGATTGGCTTTTTACACCAGGACAAATTTAAGTTTGAGATGTAAATCCTGGAAAAGTTTTTCCTAAACTGTGATTAGTAAAACTTGCTGTTTGAGGTAAAAGCTCATAGGATTTTATTTTGAATTGTCTGATGGGTCATAATCCATTGATAATCAATAATCCACCATCTGAGAGAAATGCCACAAGCTCCTCAGAGAAGGTGATACTGGTGGAAAGTCAGCATTGGGAAAAGCTGAGAGGACAATTTTAGCCTCAGTCTAAGATGGGATCCTCCTGGCTCAGTTTCCCCACTATGTTCCTTTGAAAGGGAATGCTACCCACCTGGCTATTCCTAAGTCTGGCTATGAGGTGGATTTGATACTGCATGGTTGGAAAACTGAATCCAAACAGAGATAAGGATGTTTTATCCTCTCAAAGTTGGGCCCCAAATCTAGTCCCTGCTTTATATCTGGACCCTGCAGTTTTTTCTGTCAGATTTATGTCGTCCAGACTATGGGCCATTCACCTACAGTTGGTAGCAAACGAGTACCAGCCAATGTCCCCACATTGTTCCCTGGATGCTGCCTGTGCTCAGTTCCAGTCAACCTCCTCTTTGGGACCTCCTCAAGGCAGGGACAGCTCTACACCCCTTGCCAGCAGGAAGCAGTTTCAGAAGCAAGACCACCCTTTACTCCAAAAGAATTTGGGTCCCATTTGTTTGAAGGGGGAATGATGAGGTTGGGATCTGGGCCCCAGAAAAGAAAAACCCTGGACTTTCCTACATGGCCAAATCTCTGGCCTAAATCTGAGGTTATAATTCCATCAACTGGCCTTTCACTGTGGCTACACCCAATCTCCCCTCCATCGGTTTGCCTACTTATGGCCCCAGGCCACTTTCTCACCCTTGGTAATTCTATTGCCTCATGAACTACTTGGCCACTCCTAGATCCCTCCCACATTCTTTCTGTATATAAGGTCCATCTTGTCTCCATTAAGATGCTTAGATTCCTAAAATCTATCCAATGCTTAGATTCTTATAATCTAGTCACTGCTTAGATTCTTAAAATCTAGCCACTGCTTACCCAGGTTTCAGACTCCTTAAGAGTCTGCCTAATATGATGGATGTTCTAATAAACCTTGTCTTTGACTGAAAAAAAAATCTTTTACGAACCGAATGAAGTATAAAACCTGCGCTGTCAGTAGTATCAGTTGATTCATCCAAAGTTATTGAATAATATTTATTTTCCTTTTGAACTGCATGAAGTTGTTCTGCTAAGTTGAAGGCTAATTCATGCTGCCAGTCAGTTATAGTTGTCCTTGAAAGAGGCAGTTGTTTGTATTTTGAAATGTTATTGGGGTCTAAGCATCCTACAACTTCAACAACGTATTCTTTCACAATTTCTACATCACTGAATGGCTTCCCTTTTTACCCCGAGTATATAAGCTACTTTTTAAGTTGCTTCAGTGGCATTATTTCCATTATTTCTTATTGCGGCTCGAAAGAATTGTCTTTGCTTTTGTTTTTCATCTTTTAATTTCTACAACCTTTTCCATCTCTTCCTCTAATTTAAAATAGTTGTAGTCCTTATAAGTGTTATAATGCTAATGAGCATTGAATTTCTTTAATGTTGATATTGCCATATCACAAAGCAAGAAAATCATCTTATCTTTAGCAGAAACAAGATAATATTGCAATTCCCAATCCTCATTAGAAAATCCGTTTTCTTCCTTCAGCATTCTTTTGTTCTTCTTTGACATGATGGGCTGTTAAGCAGACAGAATTAAAAATTCTGTTGAGCTGTGCAACTATTCACAAATTCCACTTCAAACAGAAACACAGTTTGCCGTTATCAAAATCTGATAATAGACTGAAATACTGGATCCCCATAAATTCTCGCCAACCAGCCGTTAGTGGCACCAGTCAGGCGGTGGAAGTTAGACCCAAATAATGAGTGTAGCAGTCGTCAATTTAGCCCTTATGGCTTACTGATGTTCTAATTGTATCAGTCAATCTGGGAGGATTATTTCATTGAAACTTATTTTATTCTTTGGTATTTTAAATACATTCATTTTAAAAATAAAATATAAACATAAAAGATGAACAAAAATGTATTAATAAAAGGATTCGTTCTGTAAAATTTGGGTTCAGTCAAAAGGCCTCACTTAAGGACCAAGAAGGCTATATGTGGCCTTAAGGCTGTAGGTTCCCACTCTTGGGTTAAGTAAATGATCGTGAGAATAGGAAGTAGTCCAAGACCTCAAGTTCTCTTATTCCACATCCAGTGAGTTTTCTACTACACCAAAGATCTTTAAACTTTTTTGTTAGGCAGTCTGATGAAGTCTTTGGATTCCTCTAAATACTTTAAAATCTATACAATAAAATATATAACATTACAAAGGAAACCAATTACTTTGAAATATAATTATCAAAATATTAAAAAGCAAATTTGTGATAGATTAACATATATGCATTATTAATGCATTAATATTAATGTAGTTAGCTTGAGAAGAAAAGGTTTGGAACAAACACTGTGATGGGTGTCATAGGGAATCAATCAGGAAAAAGTAAAATTATTGCCATGCAACAGTGAGCTCTGTTGAGATTTGATAAGTTTTGTGGTGGAACCAGTTAGCACAATTATGTGACTTCCTCCAGGGGGTATTAAGCTGCATTTGAGTAGAAGGGGAGAAAACCAGTGGGGTGAGGGGTTGGGTTTGGAAAGTGATGAGAGGGGATAAGATAAGGGGGCAAGGAATTTGAGGGTAGAAGACAGTATTACGTTTAATTAGTTTGTCAGACTGAATTCACTTTAGGATCTTCAGAGGAAAACAGAGGTGTCAAGGGCTCCACCCAGCCCAGAAACTACGATAGGTTAGGTGGGGCTTCTCCTCATTTCTCACTTCTCTGACTTCTCCGCCAGAGGTGGTACCTTCTCTCCTCTCAACTTCTTTTTGAGTGTTGTCTTCCCCTGAAAAATTGTAAGCCTCTTGAGGATGGGGACTATCTTTTTTCCATTTTGTTTTTTTACAGTGCTTGGGACAGTGCCTGTCACATAGTAAGCACTTAATAAATGTTTATTGTCTAAGTGATTTCTGGGGAAGCAGGTGACATGCCTGGATATGGTTGTGGAATTATATGCCTTGTTCAAAAGTGTTCAGTATTTGAGATTACAGTTGAGAGTAACATCATGTTAAAATTATATATATGTATATATATATATATATATATATGTATCTTACAGAAATCCACAAAGTAGGATGTGAGAACATGGTGGAGAGCAATTTATTGGGAATAAAAAAAGCAATCAAAGAATAATGATGTGTATTGTGGGAGAATACAGACCACTTGACCAGATGGTGTATATTGATGATGCTTTCCAAATACAGATTGCCAAATTATATAGGGGACAAGATATAATCATAATGATACACTGAAGTTATCTCAAAATATGCTATTTTGCTAATCTGATAAAAAGCAAAAATCTAATAAATTATTGGTTTATTTGCTAACAATTTGAAAGCCAAAAAATTTCAGAGCTGAAAGAGACCTCAGAGGGCATTTAGTACATCCTATATTTTAAGAATATCTTTGGGGCAGCTAGGTGGTGCAATGGGTAGAGCACAGCCCTAGAATCAGGAGAACCCAAGTTCAAATCCAGCCTCAGACACTTGACATTAACTAGCTGTGTGAGCCTGGGCAAGTCACTTAACCCCAATTGCCTCACCAATGTATCTTCTACAAAGTTCCTAACAACAGATAACCTGACCTTTTGCTGAAGACTTTGTTGGACAGCTCTCACTGGGAAGAAGTATTCCCTTAAAATGAGTTGAAATATTCTTCTCCATGACCTCTTTAAAACTCCACCCATCCCCATATCTTATTGCTTCTAGTTATTTTTTTGGCAAAGCACCAAAGTCTAATCTTCCTACATAGCCTTTCAAGTAAAAGCTAACATGACCCACACCCCAAGTCTTGTATTCTCCATATTTGGGGATTTTGTTTGGGTTTTTTGGTCTAGACCTCCCATGCCTTTGCACAAACTATATCCCCTCTGCCTGAAATTCACTCTCTTAGTTCTGCCTGTGAGAGACCCTAGCTTCTGTTAAGTCTCATCTCATGTGTCAATTTCTATGCCATTCCTGGTCTCCCTAGTTTTTAGTGCTCTCTCCCTCCATAATCATGTATACAATTAATTGCTTATATATTCTGTTCCCTACAAAATCCCACACCACAAGTGTAAGTTCCTTAAGGACTAAGAGTGATCTTGGTTTTGTATTGTAAGCAACAAAAATTCCAAGAAGTCATTGGTGAACCAGAAAAACTTTTTATTAACGGCCTAGCAAGGGCACACCTCACCAAAGGGAGAGCAAAGTTTTTTATTCCTATGCTGGAATGGCAGTTCCCTCCCCTATTTCCCCATTGGCTGGGTAATGCAGGGTTTACAGCCTATCCAGAGCGAGTAATTTCCCCACGTGAGTCTCTGCCCCTAATTACGTTTCCCATTTCCCACATTTCCTTGTCAACAGCCTACAGCTGTCAATACCTCAGCAGCTACTCATCACACTGAATAGTGATATGCAGAAGCAACATTCCCAACCACATTTCCTACAGTATCCTCATTGCCTTTCATATAGTAGTGTTTACTATTTGTTGTATTGAATAATAGATTCTGAGGCCTTTGGGGAAGCATGGTACCAGGACTCATGCTCCCTCGGGCTTACTCCTCTGATGTGAAGTCTCCAGCTGACTCCTGAAAAATCAGAGTCTAAAACACTTCCTCTCAAATGTTCCTAGGAAGTGGGCTAAAGGTGACGTTATATCATCAATTAAAGTATACCTGATATATAGGATATTTTGTCATTGTGCCCATCACTTGAACCCTGCTTGCCCCCTCCCCCCCAGTTCTCATCAATCAATTAAAAAGCATTTATTAAGCACTTATTAGGAGTCAGGCACTCTTCTAAGCCCTGGAGATACAAAGAAAGGCAATAGTCTTTGCCCTCAAGAGTTCACATTCAAAGAGGTGAGATAAAATGTAAATGACTACATAGTACCAGATATATACTTAGTAATTAGGTAATACTAAACATGTACATGTAAATAACTAATTGATAGTAGATATATACGTAAATAACTAGGTAATAGCAGATATATACGTGCAAATAACTAGGTAATACTAGATATAAATGAAACTAATAGTAGATAGAAACATGTTAATAACTAGGTAATAGCAAATATATACGTGTAAATAATTAGGTAATAACTAGATACAGACATGTTAATAACGAGATATCTATATGTTAACCACTACATATATACACGTAAATGACTAGGTAATACAAGAGGTGTAGAGTAAAAGAGAGGGCATCTCAGAGAGGGAGGCACTAGTAGCTGGGTGGGAAAGGGAAAGGGGGGCGCCTATAAAAGACCCTTCCTCTCCGCCTCAGGCGACAGGTCAGTTAATGACCATTTATTAATCGCCTACTAAGTGCCAGGCACCGTTAATCGCTGGGAATACACACAAAGGCAAAACAAACGAGTGTGTCTGCTTTCAAGGCGTTCACCCCCTACAATGCCGCTTTACCGTGGCACACCCGGGGAGTCTGAGCGACATTGCCCAGACTCACTACGAACTGTCAGTACCCCTAGATCGTGCCCCCCACTCCACCCCCCGCCCCCAACCCACTGGCAGCCCAGCTGCTGACAAAGGATCAGAAGGAACCTGCGACGGGCTCGCACAAACGAGCTCCCAAGGGACCGACCACAAGTGGGAGGGATGCGGAGCCCCGGGGATGGGAGCCTCAGTAGCCAGCTCCAGGGTCCCGCCCCCTAGCCCTCAACCGGAATCGAGCGTCCCACAGGGCACCAAAGACACCGAACCGGAAGCGGCCGTCCCGCCCAGGGGATTCTGGGAGTCGTAGTTCAACGGTTTGGCTAAGCCAGCGCTTCCTTCCGGTCGGGAAGCTGGTTTCCTTTGTGGGTCTCGGACCGGTGCGGGGCTGGAGGGTCGACAGCCGGCCCGGCGGCTGAGCTAACGAAGCCGGGTCGTGGTGTGTGTGTCCCGGGGCCGAGGAGGGCTCTGAGGCCGGAGGGGGCGTTGTGGAGCCTGGGGAGCTGGGGACCAGAGACCAGAAGAAGCCCCTCTTCTTCCTTGGGCATGGATGGACCGGCCTGACCCCCTTCCCTCCCCAACGGCGGGGAGTCCAGGTGAGTCCGGCGGCTCCGTCCAGTAAGTGGTTCCGCGTACTGTGTGTGTGACCGCAGGGAGTGAGAGCTTGGGGTGTGGAGCAGAGGGCGGGAAGTGTGTGTACGTACGTGTGTACGTTTATCCAAGCCGGATTCTGGAGTACTTTTCCTTCTTGTTTACAAACAGTGCCTCACTTTCCCCCTGATGCCATTATCTCCGGAAGGCGGTGCATCTCCCCTGTTTTGACACCAGCCTTTGGTGGGTCCTTCTTGAGAGTCTCTAGGGAGAGCTGGTTCCCTACTGGAGAGACAGACAATTGGATCCTCAAGCTAAAGTGATGTTAGCTCCCAGATGACGGATCCGCAGCAGTAAGTCTGGCTCTTAAGAATGAAGACAGAGAAGTCTCCAGGGATGTAGGGATTCCTCCTAGGAAGGAACCCAAACTTAAGCCTGACACCAGAGCTTCCCAGGAAGAGGCTGCAGAGCCGATGCTGACACTGATGGAGTTGGAAGTATTCCTGGTGATCCTGTAAGGGAAGGGTCAGGATTTGGGTGAAGTCACATGGTATACGGAGAACATGGAACAGTGGATGACCATGGAGCATTTGACTCAGGTTCTTGAGGGAAAAGGTAAGAAATGATCAGACAGAAGATAAACGTTTAGGTGGAGAGGGGTATGGAGGAAGCCATCTTCTCCTTATGAGAAAAGGGAAAATAGATCTCAAAGGAAGGTACCCTTGGCCAATGAGTTGGGGGAAAGATTTCCAAATCTCAGAGTGTGGTGGGAGTAACAAATGAGTATATTTGAGACTTCAACATATGCAAGCCCCTTATATCAAGACATCCAGACTATTACACACCCCTTCTAGCCCTGCTTCGTATAGTAACAAACTTAGGAAAACCACAGAGAGAACATTCCCCGTTAGAAATGCCTTTGGAAGGACCAGCCCAAGGCAATGAAATTTTCATTTTATCCTCACAAAAAGCCTTTAAGGCAGATAGAGCTTCAGCATCTCTGTTTTATAGACTGGAAACAATGATTCAGTGAGGTTAATATTACAGTACTTAAGGTTAGAGCACTATTTAGTGACAGCTGGAACTAGCACATAGTTTAGGGTCCTCACAAAGTCAGAATTTAGCAACTTTAAAAATCACTGACTCCACTCTTCTTATTTCTTTTTTTAAATTTTTAGGCAATTGGGGTTAAGTGACTTGCCCAGGGTCACACAGTTAGTAAGTGTCAAGTGTTTGGTCTGAGACCAGATTTGAACTCAGGTTTTCCTGACTTCAGGGTTGGAGCTCTATCCACTGTGCCACCTAGCTGCCCCACTCTTCTTATTTTTTAGATAAGAAGTTAAGATTTAAAGGCATTGAGTGACTTGCCAAGGGTCACAGAGCTAGATAATAGAAGAACCAGAAATGGAATCCCCAGGTCTTCTTACTCCTAATCTAGTGTTCTTTATGTTATCCCATGTGGCCTTCTATTCAGTATTTTTTCATTAAGCCAGTACTACATTTCTGTTAGTTAAGTTGTTGTCATAGGTATGATAACATAGCTGCTTTCTGCAAAAGAATTAGCATATAATTTCTCACAGAAATTGAAGGCAAAGGAGGGGCTTTTTTTTTTCTTAAAGGAAGAAAACTGAGGAACAAAGAAGTTGTTAATAGACTCAACATCACACCTATATGTGACCTCAACTATATTCTGACTGCAGGACTACTACAGTTCTTTTACCAGGAAAACTGCCATGAGCACAGAGCAGAGTTCCTTGGCAACAAGTTATGGCTTTCTGTGACCTTCAATTTGGCAGACTTATTCTGACCCCTTTTTGAACAAGTTCTTTCTTGGAAATACAGGGATACAGCCTAACTGGTGTGGTGGAGTTTATAACCTATTGAGTGAGAGAACTATAGGATAGAATCAGCCACCCTCATGGCTTCTTTTATCCCTTCAGCTTCATCTTCTCAGGACCCTGGCCTTTCTCAACAGGGGAACCCAGAAGAGGAGCAAATGACAATTCTTTTCCTGAAAGCCAGGTCCCAGGTGAGTTGGAGTTTTCTCCCTCTTTTCTGAAATGCCTCGATTGTGAATACATCTCCCGTCTCTTGAAAACTCCTTTCTTTAAGGAATCCCCATACAGGCACTTGAGTTCCACTTCTTCCCAGGGAGATGGGGTCCATAATAAGTGAGATAATCAAAATGTTAATTCATGGAATCATGTTATGACTACAGGATTCTTCCCAGATTCTTTCTCCATAGTCGTCTGGGCCTAGTCAGACGACTTTTCCAAAAAGCCAGGGATCATAGTTTGTTTGATTGCTTTAATGGAAGTGTGATGTTTAAAGACCAGAAAGACTTTTCACAGTGGTGGTTAAATGAAAGGTAACAGGATGTGGTAAAAAGAGCACTGGACTTGTGGTCAGGAAAGACCTCGGTTTAAATCCCAGCACTGACTCTAGCAGTATTAACCAATTTGAGTCTCATTATTACCTTTGGAAATCTACTGCACTGATTTGTTGTGAGAATTTAATGAACTTACATATGTAAAGAGTTTTGCAAACTTTAATGTGCTAATGTTAACTATTTAACAATAATAATAATAATAATATTAATGGAGTTTCAACTTTCATAACCTTATTGTCCGCAATACAAAAGTGTAGTGATCATTTATCCACTTTAGATCATCTTAAGCATGCTTCCATAATAACATAAAATCATTATTTTGCAAAGTCAGTCTTTCAGGTAACTCAATTTCTAGGTACTGGGTATTTTATTTCTGTAATCTCTACTCTGTTCTAATGGTCCATTTTTAGTTTTTGCCCAAAAACAGATAGTTTCAATGATATCACAGTAATTGGATGGTTCTGAGATTTCATCAGTGTGGATATTACTTTCAAAAATGCAGATCCCAACCTGTCCATCCACACTTTCTCGTCCTATATGATTCTTGCCCAGGTCCTTCTGTAAATTCTCCATAGGTGATCCATCTCTTGACATTTTTGATACCACTGGAGCAAGGGGGCTGGCTGTCCACTGACTATCCCTTAGGCCCTTCCCTGTCATGCATCTCTCTAATTTAATTACTTATGTCACTTAGCATTAGAGAGACTGGGTATCATAATTCGTAATGTTTCCTGAGGCTACACATTAAATCTTACGACATACCTTTTATGAGTCAATGCTAAATTAAAAATTAAAGCACATTTTTTTTGGTGAGGGATGTGTAGGAAGTAAAGGCAATAGGGTCATTGAATTTCGTAGGGGGTTTTTTTTTTGTTTTTATTTTTGCTTTTTTTACTAGCTCTGTGTGTGTGTGTGTGTGTGTGTGTGTTGATCTCTTCTTTATAGCATGGGTCATTTCCATATATTCCCTAAAAATATACCCTCATCAGGGAATCCTCCTTTGTAACAAAGAAAAAGAGTTAAACAAAACTAATCAACATAATGACCACATCTGACTCTGTATTCAGCATTCCACACTCCTCATCCTGGTTACCCTTCCTAGTTACATGCCATCTTTCCAGTGTCCTGAAAATGTGGCATCTAGAAATAAATGCAGTACTCCAGATGTGATCTGACCAAGACAGAATACAGTGGGAGTTATCACCTTCCATTCTGGAGACTGCACTTCTGATGATGCAGGCTAAGTTCACATTAGCTTTTTTTTGCTATCACATTATACTATAGTCTCATATTGAACTTGCAGTCACCTAAAGACCCTAGGTCCTTTTCATATGAACTTCTCTCTAGCCACATCCCTCCTATCCTGTATCTGTACATTTGATTTTTTTTAAGTGAGTTGCAATACTTGATTTTTTTTATTTTTGGTCTAGACTGGTTGTAAGGGATTCCCAGTGTGGTAACTCCTTCCACAGAAGCAGATTAGCAGGGTCACTTATGGTTTTGGTTGTCTACAGAAATGGTATCCACTCAAATAGAAATGGATCCCTGCAGGCCATGTTTTGTCTTAGAAAATCACAAACTAGCATTGTGTTGTTTACTTTGTTAAACATTTCCCAATTGTATTTTAATTTATTTATTTTTTTTAGTGAGGTAGTCGGGGTTAAGTGACTTGCCCAGGGTCACATAGCTAGTTAGTGTCAAGTGTCTGAGGCTGGATTTGAACTCAGTTCTTCCTGATTCCAGGGCCAGTGCTCTATCCACTGCACTACCTAGCTGTCCCCATTTTAATTTAAAAGATGAGTTTGACACCTCTGATCTAGGCATAAGAGGTTGTAACTTGTCTATGGTCACACAGCTAATATATGTTAGAAATAGGACTTAATCCAGGTCTTCCAGACTCCAAGGCTGACCCTCTATCCAGTATGCCATGCTGCTACTAACTTTACATTTATCTTTTAAACTTATCTTTTAAATTTACCTTACATTTACCTTTAAATTTCTTATTAGATTTTTTTCCCCATAATTCTGTACCACTGAAATCTTTCTGGATTTAGATTCCATCATCCAGTGTATTAACTCCCTCTCAGCTTTGTGTCATCTGCAACTTTGGTAAGCATGGTATCCAAGTTTCACTCAAGTCATTGGTAAAAATGTTGAACAAAATAGTACCAAGGACAGAGACCAAGGACACTACTAGACACTTTCATCCAGTTGATGAGTTTCCCTTATCACCACTCTTCAAGTGCTAGTATTTGTCCTGCTCCAAATCCATTTAGTTGAACTATCATTCAGAACAGTCTCTCCACTTTGTCCAGAAGGATTTCATGAGATAATGTCACAGGCCTTGCTGCAATATCTGTCAGCCTAGTAAATCCTGTAAAAATTATAAATGAGGGTACAAAGTCATGACTTGGTGATGAACCCCTGCCAGTTCCTCGAGATTTCTTCTTCTGGTTCTTGCCTCCTAAGACTTTTGCAAAAGTTGGCATGCACTTCATTGACTTAGAGTTTGAAAAATTGTCTTACTACTCTTTTTGAAAACCAAGCAAAATTTGGTAGTGTCTAGCCTCGTAGTGACTTTCCTATTCTCTACCATACTTTTACAGAATTGTTAACAGCAGTAGTATGTGCAAGATCAGGGCTCTGAGAGTTATC